GGCCCCCCCCCCCCGCGGCCGCCCCGCCGAGGCCTGCCCTGAAGGTGAAGGTGTTTCGGGGTCTCCCGGGGTGGGGTGGCCTTGCTGAGCTTCGCTGTTCGAGTGCTGGCGGTCACCGGGTGTAATTAAAAGTGTTGCTGCCACTACGACCTTCAGCGGCTTTGTTGTTGCTTCCTGAACTTTAACTCTTGAAAACAGAGGCTGTGCCCTTGTTTTCTTTATTTATGCTTCAGTTTATCCATTCATGTGAAACTGTGGCCCCTGCTCCAGAGTAGGTGGCTCAGGTTTTTGTTAATTGAGCAAAGGAATTTGGGGGAGGGGGGGGATAGTGGAAGGCTTGCTGCTTCTGCATCTTGCATCTGTATTATGAAATCCAGCAAACCAACCTCTGCTTTGTGTTGTCTCTCACCACTGTGAAAGCTCAGGTGGACACACAATTCCTCTCTTGTGACCAAAAATGTAGATCAAGGCACATGCCAGTGTCATGTTCTGAAGTTGCTAGCAAAGTTGCTAGCAAAAGGCCTAGTTTAATTAGCTCAAAGCAAGTCCACTTAGAGTATAGCAGCTACAAACTGGAAACCTCTGTCCTAAGCATGTCCTCTTGAGCTTGAGACACCAAATTAATTTGGAAACATTAGAGCATTGTATAATGTACACTAAGTTACTTGGCAAAACAGGGGTCCCTTATGGAGGAGCTATGTGTATCTATCTAGCAAGAATGCCTTCCACATATTAGTTAAGTGATTGCTATCCCTACTTATAGCTACAGGGATGCAGATTTTACTGGTGTTGGTATGAAGTTCTGTTTAATGGTGCTGCAGATACTGACTTCTCTGAAGACTTTAAATGTTTCTGAGAACTTAAAGCTACAAAAGTTGAGGTCTGAATGAGTGAGAGAGAAAACCATTACATTTATGGCACTTGCTAATGATTCTTTTCCTGTGCTGTCTTTCTTACAGGAAGATTAAGACGCACTGTGCAGAGCCCTTTACTGAGTACTGGACGTGCATTGACTACACCAACTTGCAGGAGCTCCGTCGATGCCGAAAGCAGCAGGCAGCGTTTGATAACTGTGTGCTGGAGAAGTTGGGTTGGGTGAGACCGGACCTGGGACAGCTCTCTAAGGTAACTTTACACCTTTTTGACGGGATAGCCAGATTCTTCTCTCCCTTCTTATGGACATTGTGTCCAGACCGAGTCTCAAACCCTTCTCCCAGAAGGTGATTCATGAACTCAACACTGGAAGCTTGTGGACTTTACTAGAAGTCAGGACTCTAGTGTTCTCCAGAGTTGCTTTCCTAGAAGATCTACACTTAAACAATGCCACTTACTCTTTTTTGCTCTTCTTGAGCAAATAGACCTTTCCTTTAGGAGTGAAGCTTACACAACATATAGAACCAATTTGTAGTTATGAGTGAAATGTGCCCCTCCCTTTTTTTAGAAAATAGAAGCTCTCATCAGATCAGCATTGTGTCTTGGTAGATCTTTCTTTGAGTTTGACCAACTCTACCTTTTCTATTAAATGCTGTGGGAAGTCTTAGAATTTCTTTTTTCTTCCAGGTCACGAAAGTGAAGACAGACCGTCCTTTGCCTGAGAATGCCTATCACTCTAGACCTAGACCAGAGCCAAATCCACCCATCGAAGGAGAGCTGAAGCCCTCTCCATTTGGCAGTAGGCTCTTTTTCTGGTCCTGGTAAAGTGGGCAGACTGTGCTGTAACTGAAGTGCAAAGATGGATTGCTTACAAATGTAAATTGTGTGGTATGCACTGGGTATAACTTTAATGATTAAAGAACCCCAAACCATTACATGGCTTAGTGGATTCTTTAAACATACTCACACATCACAGCAACTGAATGTATTTCCCTGTTTCACACAGTGCTCTCTGCAATCGTGTAGCCCTTAGAACTGTCTTAACACAAGTGATGTCAGTTGCTTGATAGTGGCTGCCAGGTGTGTCTGAGATGTCTGTAAATGTAGCCAGAGTCTTTGACTACCCCTTCAAACAATCAAAAACTGCCATGAGACTTGTCTTACTGGTTGAGAGCACTGTCACTTGGGTCAAGGAAGCCTGGAGAACAAACAAGCTGTTAGAATGGTCTTGCAACTGATAATTGTGCAGTTTTTCCCAAGGGATTCCTGTGTAGATTTAACCTCAAATACGTCTGGGAGCAAGGATTTAGTCTGAGTGTGTGGCATTTGCCAGGTATGAGGACATAAAGATCCGTGTTCTCCTTACCAGCTGCTCATTCCTCACGCAGCTATGTTAGTGGCTTCTTTTTTCTTATTCATTTTTACTGGGGGAACACAAGCTACTTCAGAAAAACTACACTAAATTTGCAACACCTTTAAGGAAAAATGATCTCCTGTCCCATTAAGCAGAGCAAGAAGGTGGCTTGTCTTCTGTCTCGAGGCCCTGACTCGAGGGGTTTGGGGCAGATCCTTCCCATTGTTTCCCTGTGATAGCCTTTTGGATAGGTGAGTAAATCAGCTTGCTTTAATTTATTTTTTCTACAGTATCTAAAAGTCATATATTTTGTAGGAAATGGATCTAGTCTTTCCTCCACTTCCACCCAATAGCAACTTACTACAAAGGTCAGAAAAAAAATGAAATTAGTTATTTTTTTCATGGAGCCATCTGCAGTTTAGCTTTCTCCAGGCCAGATGGTGTAGCCTGAGCCGTAGCAAGGACATGAGCTGTGCTTTGCTCCTTGAGCAGTGTGGGAAAGTGACACAAGATTGGTGAGGGGGAACTGTCAACGCAAGTGACTTGAGTGTGAGGTGCTGGAAAACACCTATATCACACTAATTGTTGTTTAGTCTTACGTGCTTAGCAAGTAGAACACCTGCACTTGGGTAACGTGGGTCTGGGGTGGGCTCAGGGACACCTTAGTGAACGAGATGTGCCTGAGATGCCTGTGCTGCAGTTGAGGAAGATCAAAGCACAGCAGGTCTGTGCCTCAATGGGATCCCTGCCTCAATCTGTGAAACAACAGGCCAGGACAGCAAGTGTGAGTTCCCTCTCTTCCTCCCTTCCTAACAAGGACTCCCCAGCTCTGTGGTGCTTGTGTGCCTCTGCCCGGGTGCTCTTCTGGAGATTCCCTGATCCATGAGGTATGGAGATTAAATTTGTCCTTTGCCTTTCACCTGTGGTTCTGTGGTTGTTCCTGTGCCCTGCCTGCATCGGCTCGCACAAGCAGCCCGGCCATTACTAGGAGCTGAAGGTTTACCATCTCCTCGTTTGGGGCAGCGTTAAGCTGTAAGGGGCCTGTAGCTGCAGCATGTGTTTCTGATCCATGGAGCTAGGGGGAAAATTGTATAACATTTATCTAAAAATAGCTCACGCCCTGTGGCTCGTGTGTTGGTGCTACTCTGTGCTGGGCTGTGTTGGCTGGAACTCAAAGCAGGTGCTGTGGCATACGTGTTTCCATCTTAATGTGTGTGTTGTACTGTCTTAGCAGCTCCTCCTCTACGTGCACCTCTGCAGTTTCTCCTTCCTGATCACTGCCAGCGTTGCAGAGCAGCCACGTATCGCTGAGGAAAGATAACCCCCTTTCTGCAGGGACTGAAATTAGGACAAGCTTGAGGTCTAATTGCATTCAGCTGAGTTGAGTGAAATGAGGTTTGGCCAAGCAGAGGATAAATTGTTCTGGGATGTTAACACGTGTCACATCTGATCTTTTGTTGCTGACCCACTCCAATAGTGAGGCAACCTCGCAGAAAGACTTTTTAGATATTACTTACTATGTTTTGCTAATAATTTACTATTGTCAGCATAATGTATGAAACATTGCACTGCTGAACATCTGCTTTTGAATAAAACAGGCCTGGGCATTCCAGTAGTCAGCCCCTAATCATAATTAAAGAGTATTTTTCCCATTAAATTGCTTCTGAAAAGAATGACATGCATAAATAGGGGGACAATTGTTTTTTTTAAACAGCCTTTTACAAACCCCACCCTTAAGTTAGCTGGTACTGTAAGCAAAAAAGAAAATAAAATAGTGATTTATGCTGCAGCCTCACAGGTTTAGGATTGTTCATCTGTTTCACAAGAGCTGAATCTACTGCTTCTTGGGTCAGAGGCAGTTGATCCGATAATGACGCATTGACCGCGTTTAAAAGTGAGAGTTAATGATCTGCTCGCGTGGATCCCCACTTCAGTTTCAAGCAGGAGCGGGCAGGTGAATG